ATCCCGGTCGGAACCCCCCTACCCCTTTCGCCTTACCCCTACCCCCCCCCCCTAACAAAAAAAAGAATATTTTTTTTTCCTTTCTTAAAATATGTACGAGGTATATGGAAAATGCGTACATGCTCAACTGTGGAGTGGGAGGTTACTGGTAAGGTGTATTCGGGAAATTGAAGGGTGAATCCGCGGAGTAAACAGTGAGTTATATTCAGGCAAAGCAAAAGCCGCAAACAGTCATTGATGGATCCCAATGAAGCTCCATTATCAACTTCTCCGTCAAACTTCAATTTCAGCCAGCAACGTCATTTTTACCTAGCCGTCGACAGATTTCAGTTCAAAATGGTAATTTTCTTACTCTCCAATTTCGTGAACCATTAACTTTTCAATCTTATTGAGATGAAATGAAATAAAACAGGAGACTTTGGTGGATCTGTTGGGGATGGCTGGCCGGCTTCGGTGTTTACCTATTGTAGTTAGCTGCAGCACTCGTGACGAGCTCGACGCTGTCTGTTCCGCCCTTTCTACTCTCTCACATATTACAATTGCCGCTCTGGTTATATCTCTCAGCAAACCTTTTTCCTCTTCAATGCAAACTTTTCCATTTACTTTTAAAATTTAATAGTTACTGATTGATTAATTGAATGATAAACATGTTATTTGAATGAAATTTGTCTTAACTGAGGGAAATTGATCTAGAGTATCCCAACTTGTTCGGGATTGAGGGTTGTTTGATTGATTGAATATAAATTGTGAAAATTGCAGTACAGTGATCTTGCTGAAGCGGAACGTGCAAGGGTTTTAGCTAGGTTTAGACAGGCTACAATGAGGTGGAACAAGCAGGCTACAACTGAACATGGAGATGCAGGGGAAACAGAGAAAGAAGAGGAGAAATCTAATTTGATAGTTGTCACGGATGCTTGCCTTCCCCTTGTTAACTCTGGCGAATCACCTGTCAATGCTCGTGTCTTGATTAATTATGAGCTACCAACAAAGAAGGTACTCGTCTTGTAGGCTTTATATTACCTTAATCATTCTTTCCAACATTTTAATAGCTCTTACTCGTGGGACTTGAAGATTTGTTAATTGGAGGTGTGACTTTTAATTGTTGATCACAGCACTCGTTGTGAAACGAAAGCACTGTTCTCGGTTTGGAATTTAGAATAGGAGAGAGCTAACTTTTAAAAAGTAGGAACGAGTGAACCACAAATTTCTAAAGTTGACCTTTGACCTACGTCCACTCAGCTATTGAAGTTCCATTATTTCCTTCCTTTCGGATTCTTTCATAAGGCGTTGTCCCATAACATGCAGCCTAATTTTCTCTGTTTGAAACAGTGTTGTCAAAGGCGTGCTTAAAGCGCGCTTAAGCCCTGAAGCGAGGCTCAAAACATGTTGAGCGCTTCGCCTCGCTTTGTGGGCGCTTCAGTGTCACATCAAGGTTCTAAGGCATACTTTTCCTTGCCAATGAGTGTGATCCTGAAAAGGCGACACTAAACAATAGATATTTCACTTTATCGTAATTTTTTTTTCAAATTTTTTTTGTCCATATATTTGTTATTTATGCTTATAATTATTGGTCCTGGACTACATATACATATTTTTACTTTTTCTCAGGTTGCGCCTTTTTTCATTAAAGCACACGCTTTATTTGCGCTTTGCGCTTAAAGCCCCAATGGACCTTAGAGCTTTTTTGCGCTTTTCGCCTTTGATAACACTGGTTTGAAAGTGAAACTGAAAACGATGCCAGAATATGACCATATGAGAGTTGGTATGTAACATCTGGGTTTAAAGATAACAATACTAACTTAATATAACTGTTAGAATAACTATCAGATTGGAGGCATTGAGCTCTTAGATCAGGCCGCAAGGATGTCAAAGTTAAAATTAAAAGTTCAGACTCTATGAAAATGCCCTCGAAAGTTGGAAGTATGGAGAAGTACTTTAAAAATTGAGGATATTAAGATAAGTAGAAGTAGGACAAAATATATTCATGGTAAGTTTAGCCTCTTTAAGAAGAATGAAGTTGAAGTGAGATTAAGTAAAATTATGGTGCTGAAATGCAGATAATTCAAATATCTTGGTACAAACGTCTAAGATATACACGATAGATGGAAATGTAACACATAAAATTGAAATAGGATGGCTGAAATGCAAGAGAGCTATGGGAGTGATATGCGATAGAAAAATACCTATCAAAGTGGAAGGTAAGTTCCATAAGATGGGTGTGGAGCAATGTTTCACAATATTGTCTGGGAATGATATGGGCCTCTAAGCCCCAAGATATCATAAGTGTTGTATAGATGTGAATATTAATATGAAATTTTATTTATACAAGATTAGATAAGGTTAAGAATGATTTCTGACAGAATGTAACCAAATATATTGGTCCATCCATAGATGCAATATATGATGATTGAAAATGCTAAAATTGAACGAGGTAGACATAAAATTACATGGAGAGAAGTTCTCTTAAAAGACTTATTATCTCTAATCCATGCAAACTTAACCAAGAGCATAACAACATAAGCAAATGATCCATATAGGTAGGGGTGGCAAAATGGCTCAAAGAAAATAGTTAACCACCCATATTATCCACTAAAAAATGGGTTGGATAATGAACTTTTTAAAAACGGGTCAAATGTGGATAAGAACCATATTATCCATTTAGAAAATGGATAACCAATGAGTAACCAATGGATAATCAATAGGTCTAACTTTTACATTTGTAAAGCCTCAAATTGGGGGTTCCTCAAGTTAGGGAGACTAAGAATTCTCCCAAAAGTGATCATATACAAGAAGTCATGGATAATATGGGTAACTCATATTATCCGCCGGTTAACCCGTTTTTTATCCGTATTAAATATGGGTCGGGTCGGATAATTGATCCGATTTTTCATTACCCGTTTTCGACCCGAACCATACCCGCCCCGCCCCGCCCCGCCCGCTTGTCACTCCTACATATAGGCAATACCAATAAGTTTGAACATTCTCGGAATGCCCCCATCTGACACTCCTATTTAACCCAGTTATTTTTTGCTTTTCAAAAATTAGTTTGAATTAAGACATTGTTATTGTTTCTACACTTACATTTGGTCATGTGTTTTCCAGACTGTTTTCAGTTTTGTTGGAGGTTTATGTGCAGTGTAGAAAACTACGTGACGTTTGTAGAATCTTTAGTTTCAGATAATCTCTAGTTTGCCTTAAAGTACATTATTTAATATTGGAATAAACTGAATGGATCTGAATGGATGTAGAGAATTCTTATAGTTGATCCCAACTAGTTTAGGATTTAGCTGTAATTGGTAGATTGGTTGTGTAAATGCACTCAAGGATGTTTCAATAGGATTCGTATTTCATAGGTTGACGCTTAAATGTGTGTAAGAGTGAGGTGCTATATAACTTCTTATTTTTTCATTCAAGTTCTGGATTTTATTTTAAGACGGATAGACATACAATTCATGAATTGCCGGATCCAATTAGAAGCCAAAAAAACATATTAAGAAGGTACACCGAGCAAATGTAACTATGTACTTCTCCAAATTGTTTTTGCCTACTCTTGTTTGCTTTCTTGTTAATATGACTTGGTGATTAGAAGTCCAATGGACAAAATGGTCTAACGATTTAAACATTGAAAAGAAACTAAAGTTGTAGACCCCCCCCATTTATTTTTTTCTTTTCTTATTTTGCAGGGGGGGGGGGGGGGGAGAGGAGGTTGTATAGTGACTGCAATATGGGGAGGGTTGCTCCTATTGTTATTTTCTGCCTTACATGAGCAGCAATTTGAATTGCTTTTTAATTATATTTTTCATAGATGAAAGATATCATGTCATTGCACCTCTCTGATGACCTGAGTAGAAGTGAATCACCACGTGGTTTTGGATAATTGATGTTCGCAAAACAGCTCTCCAACTATGTGAGGAGACGTGCGTCACCACGTGGTTGGGGATACTTGACGTTTGCATAACCAACTTAATCTTAGTAAGCGGTGCAATAAGAATGACTTTCCCCCTTCGACCTGTGAAAGAAATGAACCTTGGGCTTAACTTAAACCCAAAAGGTAGCTCATGAGGTGAGGATTTCCCAAGTGCATATAAGGAGAACACCCATCCCCTTCACCACCGATGTGGGACTCTTCAAAACACCCCCTCCCCCCACGCGCAGGACTGGATATCTGGAGCGTAGACAATATAAGATGAGGCCCAACATCGGGTAATAATGAATTGGGATGGGCGTGGCTCTGATACCATGTGAAAGAAATAGACATTGGACTTAACTCAATCCCAAAAGCTAGCACATGAGGTGAAAATTGCCTAAGTCTATATAAGGAGACCACCCATCCCCTTCACCATCGATGTGGGACTCTTCACACCTCCCCTTCCCCCACGCCCAAGACTGGATATCTGGAGCGTGAACAATATAATACGGGGGCCCAATATCGAGTTGACGATGAGTCCTGCTCTGATACCATGTGAAAAAAATGGACCTTGAGCCTAACTCAAGCCCAAAAGCTAGCTCAGGAGCTAAGTATTGCCCAAGTCCATGTAAGGAGACCACCCATCCCCTTCACCACCGACGTGGGACTCTTCACACCACCAAACCTGTTTACATCAAGAGACAACCTACCACCATGTTCCAGGATAATTCGATGTGTGTATATAGATTAGGATCAGAGGACTTTTAAGGATTTGCCTGCTGATTAGGCAGAGAAGTACACAATGAGGAACCACAACAACCAAAGGTGAATGAGAGCAATTAGTCAGAGATTAAGGCTTAAAACCTCAAACATGAAAGATAACCCGTTAATTGCTCCAGAGATCCAGACATGCAAGTAAGGTTTGCTTGATTGGAAAACCCTAACATCAGTCTAAGAGAAATTATCATGATCTTGCTTGTCAGACCCTTAATCTGCTCTAAAACCATGTCGGCTGAAGTCATCACCAATTTGAAAGATTTGCAACACAAGATAGAGAGAAAATTCCAGTGTATTCTATATTCGTGAAAGAAGAATATGAACATATGGAGAGTTCTCATAGCTGGGAATGCATTAAATATGTATCTTCACTGACTTTAGCTGAAAAAAATATATCCAGAAGCTATGCACAAACAACCAATAAGCTGCACAATATGTGTAAGCTGTTGATAAATAATAAATTGGGCCTAGTCAACTTAATGAACAACTTGACTGATAAGCTGGGGCTAGCAGCCCAAATGCTGCTGCCATTTACTGCATTGATGATCCAGTCAAGAGATATCCTATTTCTGCACATATATAGTGTGTATATGTGGCTCCACTCACTTAGCTGATAATTAATATACGTGTGAAACAATAAACTCGATATACTCTTAAATGCGCATTTGCAATTCCCAACTTGTTTAAGATTGAGGTATAGTACTAGTTGTTGTTATTGGGGTTGCAATTATCTTTTTTTTCTCCATGAGTATAATATGTATCATGGGCGCACCCAAGGGTGTGACCTAGCGGTCAATGAAGTTGATTAGAACAATGAGGTTTTAGTTCAATTCCCTACGAGGCAAAAAAATACTAGGTGATTTCTTCTCATCTGTCCAAGCCTTGTTGGATAGAATTACTTGGTACATGTTGCTGGTGGGAGGTAGCAAATATCCCGTGGAATTAGTCGAGGTGCGGACAAGCTGGCCCGAACACCACATTTATTAAAAAAGAATGTATCATTGGCTGATGAGAGTCTTCTTGTTCTTTATTCTTTAATCTTATTATTACTCCTCATTTCTGTTCTTCGGGAGCACATCTGATCCTTGAAATTGTTGGAGGGAGTTTCTCTGAGCATGTATAGTGAAAGAAATAGTCTACTTCATTTGACAATTGCATTTAATTGTTTGAATTTGTGTCCTGTACTTTAGAACTTGCAGATGTACTTACTTTGTTGTTGTGCTCTTATGTAGGAAACATATATGAGGCGCATGGCTACTTGTTTGGCAGCAGGTTCTCATTCCATACTATAGAAGTGAATTTGACAAGAGAATAGATGAGACTTGAGAGAAGAAATAAGAGGATTGGAAGTAAAGAAAAACAACACGAAACATAACTAATACTCGCAGCATATCCTTTATAACTCTTATTCACCTTGGAGTCAGTATGAAGGATGAACAATCCCTTCCTTCAAACTCCTTTATTTCCCCCCCTCATCATGTGTTTCGACATAATTCATAACTGTGCCATGTTAGCTTTGTTTTTCTTGATCATATCACATAAGTTTCTGGATTATGTGCAGATGGAATTGCGATCAACATGGTTGTTGGAGGCGAAGTTGTTACTATCAAAAGCATTGAAGAAAATAGTGGCCTTCTCATAGCAGAAATGCCCATCAATGTAAGTTTTTAATTTGGTTCCTCTTGTTTATTATCGCATGGAAACATCAGTTTAATGCCAGGAATGAGATTATGGGTTATTTGGACCCGTGTGCTGTTGTATTGCCATTTGCCAGAGCGTATGTGCACGATTATCTCTTATTTCCGTTCTTTTGAAGTTCTAGATTGTCTCAGTAACGTTTGCATGTCAACTTTTGACCATGCTTCTGAGCAGATTTTTGAGATGCTGTGAAGGGATGAAGCCATGCAAATGTCATCTAAACACATGAGATTCCAAGTAATTAGGTATTATGATTAAAAAGTTCTCCACTTTTGTAGTACTATCTTTGAGTGTTATTTGGCTGCATGATATTTACCATGTAGGTAGCATTTCATTGTTCGACTAGATTTTATAAATATTATTTTTCCTCTTGCCTCTTTCATTTCTTTAGCTCTTCTTTTTTAGTAATAAAAAAGGAAGATAGGTTCACTTGCTTAAAAGGAGAGAAGAGTTCTGTTGATGAATTTGGATCATATTGCAGTGCTTTGTCAATTGTATGGGCACAAATGAGGGTTGATGACCTGGCCATTTTTCTTGGGGCGTAGGTTTGGATGAATGTGATATTCATCTTCAAGATGATTTCAGTTCTGGCATAACATAGCTCCTTGCCTATGTCAATAGGAACGGGGCTATACAAATTTATTAGCAATCTGAAGGTACTCTACATGAGATGTGAATTAGGGAAGGTTCAAATGGTCGCTACGTTTAAGTTGGAGCAACTGGGGTCTTCCACACGTAAAACCTTTATTGGGCCTTGCCAATTTACTTCAGTTCATTTATGCATGATGTCCAATGTTGATTATATAAATGGTAGTGAGGAGATTGCATTCTTGATTTCAACCCTCCAAGGGGTTATGCCCTAGAAGGGTCCTGTTATCTTGAAACTTAGGGATTGGTGATGCTTTGGTGCCGGTCAATCTTTCTAGATGATCTGTGGAGTTCTTGTTCTTGGCTTTAGTCATTTCCATAGCTTCACTTTTCAATTTTTACTTGAATAGTCCACTATCTTTCACAAATGCGGCCATTGAACTTGGTTAGCTGTAGCCACTGGCACATTATCACAGTTTTCCGTCACGGGTCATATTGCATGAGAAAGGGGAGGGACAACCTATATACTTTGCTGCCAACTGATATGGCCTTTACTTTGAAATTACAAGATTTTGACTTGGAGGACTTTTAGTGTTACTGTTGTTGAACTTTAATGAATTGATCATCTAATAGGCATAGAGCTGGAAACCGTATTAAGTGTTTGTAATGTTGTAATTCCAATTTTCTGAGAGAAGAGAAGTTGATAGAAGGAAAAGAGAATCATAGTATAAAGACAAGAGAGAACAACTTCTTTAATTTACTAGTATGTATTATTATCTTAGTCAGTTTGCTCAAAGTCTTCATCTCTATTTCATCATATATCTTTTATCCCCATTCAAAGACTGATTTGGTTGGGACCGGGAGATTGGTCTGAAGCCAAATAAATTAATTGGGATCTATCTAAGAAGATTTTTGAATAGACCTGCTCAGGCCCAGATCTATGAATGAGTTGCATGATGTGGAGCAGATTTTTTAGGTCTAGCTTTTAGTCCCCACACTGTTAAAAAGGTTATATTTGTGACTGCTTTGCAGATAATGACATCCATTAAAATCTTGACTCCAAGAGGTTAGATGTGTACCATTTGAAGCTTCTTGTTGTAAATTTCTGGATTTTAACCAACACTTCAAACTATACTAAGTATATTTTGCTGTGCTTTCTGCTCGGCCCCTCAAAGGCCTTTATCTCTATTTGCATTATATATCTTTTCTCTCCATTCGAGGAGATTGTAGTGACTATGGAGGTGTATCCATAGATTTACGTATGTAAATTTGGGTGAAATTACCAAGAAGAAAGAAGCAAAAAAATGCTACTAGAGAACAAGACTATTTTTGTGGGAAGGTAAGATGTATTTTCTCCAGGTCGTTTTCTTTTCCCTAGTCTATGTCTAATTTCACATACAGTTAGATCCCCTCAATTGTACTTGAGTAAAGTTTTATGCCCAATTAGCTATGATATTCTTGATAAAAATTGCAAAATAAGTGATTGCTACATTCTTGCTGTTTTTGGAAAACAGTTGAACTTTCAATCCTTAATTCGATCTTGATCCCCTAAACCAAATATGGGATAGAGAAAAACGAAAGCTTGCAAGGTGTCTTCATTTGATTGTTCCAAGAATTATACCTTGGTTAGTCTTGAGGGAAAACTAATAATACCCTAGGCTTTCACTGAAGGAATTTGGATCTTGTCTAACTATGTAGTCTTCTTCCCAATGATGAGTTCCGGTTGTGCTTTTACTCTACAATTTACTCTATTTACTATTTATAAGAAAGAAGGAAAGGTCCATTCGTTAATCAGTGGTCTAAAAGAGTTAGAATCATTTCCCTCCAATCCCAGTACTTCACAGTGTCCCATTACCATCCTTCCAAAAAGTAACTTGTATAGCCAATATTTTTTTTTTATTGTAAAAAAAAAATCTATTTCAAGGGTTAATTTCGTAGATGATTATTAACTTTTACTTTATTGTACCAAGTCACTAAAATTTTCTTATAAAGAAAAAGTCATTTAGCTTACCTAATTATTATTAAAGTCACTTAATAATTGTTTGTAATAAAAAATCTCTCAGTTTTGCCCAAGTATCGTAGAAATATCTGTTGTTATTTCTCCTAATGATTTTACGTGATAGGTAGGCAAGGTTGAATGATATTCTTGGCCTTGGGAATTTCCATTGTAGCATTTGTTACGAGGTGCACGAACTGATACATTTGCTTATTACTTCCATTGACGCTCAATATACAAGTCTTCCGTAAAATTCCATTGTGAATGCCTTGTGCAAAATACTCTAGGGAATATATAATTTATCGTGACCATCCTTTTAGAGAGAGAAAAGAAGGTACATTACGAACTTGTCAACCTCCTCTCTCTGACCCGAGGAGTTTTAGATTTACGGGTAACTTATATCCTATGGTTCAGACTTCAGTATATATTATCACATAATGAGGGTTTGCAAGTAAGTGTTTGGTCTGTACCTCCAGCATGTCTTAATAGTTGTGTCTATAGTATATTGTGAATCAATGACGAAGATGGGGAGTTGATTCGGCAAATCCATGCAGTTGGTCCATCACTTATAACCTTTCTTTTCTTAGCACAAACTTAAAAGTAAGATAAGAATCTTCAGTTTCATGCAATAATCAGGAGTGTTAGGTCCCCACATTTGAAGGGGACATGCAAAGCAATGAAATGGAGCAGTTGGTTGAAATTTTCCATGGAAACAGAAGGGTCACGTGAAATCTTATTGCCAGTGCATGACTTGTTCGGGGCAATTAGTCTTGAGTGTTTGTTGTCTGTCTCTTTCTTGATCAACTGTGGAAGATATTGATAGAGATAGATCCTGTCTTATGGAAGGGAAGAAAGGGAACACAATGAGGATGTATAACCATATGGTCCCTAAATTTTATGAGAAAAAGGGGAAATATCATCGGCACCTTTGCCATGCATGTCTGCTCTTCATACAGCAATTTTACTGGACTAAGGTAGCCTACCTATGTATACTGCTGATGACTTAGAGAGTATTCTCATCATCTTGGCTTCCGTCAATAATGGGTTATTTTAAAATAAAAACACGAGAAATATATATATCTACTTTATGACTGGTACAAGTCCCCTAGAATCCTACTTAATCCATGTTTGCAATTTAGATTCATGAGCAGCAGATGCTGCAAGTTAGATAGATTGATTACACTTGGTAATAGGAGAATGCCATGTTAATTTGATGCTATGGACTAGTGGTGGTAAAACGGACAAAACGAAACAGTTATTCACTCATATTATCCACTAAAAACGGGTCAAATATGGATAAGAACCATATGATACACTTAGAAATGGATAACTAATGAGTTTAATTTTTACATTTATAAATACTCAAATTGGGGGTTCCTCAAGCTTTGGAAACTAGGAATTCTTCAAAAAATGATCATATTCAAAAAGCCATGGATAATATGGTTCTCATACCCATATTATCCGCCGGTTTACCGGTTTTCTATCCGTATTAAATATGGATCGAATCGAATAATTTATCCGTTTTTGTCTTACCCGTTTTGGCCCACCCATACCCGACCCGACCCGCTCGTTTGCCACCCTACAAGTGTGGACTTATGGTACTAGAACCAGATAAGTCTAGTCAAGTTTCTGCGGGGAACACAGAAAGGGTTAATCGAAGTAGTCAAGTTAAAGCATATTTCAGTATTTGTTTTTGAAACAAAATGGTCATTCGCCAATACTTAAAAGCTAGCTGATCATGTTGCCTCTAGTTCTTATTGTTCTTACTGGTAAAAATTTCATTAACTAAAATTTACATTTGTACGAAAATCTGTTAAACTCCAGTCCAAAATTGCACGTGTTAAACTCCAGTCCAAAATTGCACGTGGAACATATATTTTGACCTCCTTTTGCCTTTTGGATCTTCATCTTCCATGGCTTTACTTATCAACTCCTAGACAAAGGAGAAGTGATGTGTGCTTACACGTGCAATGCTTTGTGAGAGTTTTCATATACGTGGTGTTTACCATGCTACGTCGATGACACTTTCTCCTTCAATCCTCACCCACAGACGATGCAAAAACCCCAGATTCTCTGGAGTTAAATGGCAGGGCCTAATAATTGGATTTGGATTCGAGTTTTATGGTAACGCTAGAATGACATTTATTTCTATTCTATTCACATTTATTTAGTAAGTGTTATAACTTACCTTTTCACTTTTATTTTCGAAGAGAAAGAGAAAGAAAACAACTTAACTTATACACACTTTAGTGTATACAAGTTATCGCTTGTAAGCGGTAGTTATTCTTCTTTTAGTTTACTTTGGTAAATGATGTATTCTAACTAGTTGTTGCATGTGGCATTGTTACTTTATCTTTTTTTTCTTTCTAAGTTGCTAATTCACTGTTGCCATATATAGCAGTTGACTTTGAAATAAATAATCTGAAAGTGTTAACTTTTAAAATAATTTGTTTTTTGTTGGTAAAGATGGTGTTCTAGTTGCATATCTTGACTATTCTATCAACCTACCGATATTTAAGCAAATGATATTGTGATATTTTTTAAAAAAAAAAATTAAACTGAAAAGTAAAAATGTGAAGCAACAGAAGGCAGAGAATCTAAATGACGAAGAGATGTGATGACAGCTTACTGAAATTTGGCATTTGCATGGAATCCAACAAAAGATTTGGCTTCAAGTCCAGAAATGACAAAGGTCTTCCCCATGTACACCTTCCACCTTATCTTTCCTGTGTCTCACTCACTCCATTTTAAACCACCGAACTCACCACTCACCCACTGGTACATATCAACGCTATGCGTACATTTGCTCGTTAAATAGAAGGTGAAAGGAGTGTTCATTGCAAAGTCGGATGAACTTGGATCTCTTCTGTATACTCTATATTTCTATCACAATTCACACATGACAACTTCCATTTGCTCTGTTCCGCTTGTACATTCAATGTGTCCTCTGTAGTTACTATTTCTTTCCGTCTCTTTGAGTCACAAAGCAATTAATACGAAAAAGCAAGTAGGCGGCGTAATTCATAAAGCAAGAAGATACAATATCTGCATTTATAAACTCGTAGGAGAACTTTACTAGTGGAGTCGCCAATTCTGTCACACCCTTTTTCACCAATCATCGCTCCGATTCTAACCCTGATGGCTCTAGCAACTTCAACGCCTCTGCTGATGGATCCGAGTATTCCGAGATTGAAAGCAACTCATGCAGGTGATGAACAAGAACAGAAGCATCGACCAACCATTTCAGAGGTTTGCTTGTTAAATCCGTTTTCTTTTTAAAAAGAATGTTTAGAAATCTAGATGGCCATTGAAATGTTGACATAGAAATATCTGATTCTAGGTTGTGGAGGAGATCAAACTGCTGTATTCCATAGCCTTACCCATCATCGCTGCTGGATTGCTAATATATGGAAAATCAATGATATCAATGCTGTTCATGGGTAGATTAGGTAAAGAAGCACTTGCTGGCGGGTCTTTGTCTATTGGCATAGCCAATATCACAGGCTACTCTGTTCTTTCTGGTCTTGCTATGGGTATGGAAGCCATATCTTCTCAAGCTTGTGGTGCTAAGCAATGGCCTCTTATGGGTCAAGCTCTCCAACGTACAATCTTGATTCTGTTATTTTCATCCATCCCCATATCTCTCTTGTGGCTAAAGATCGAACCTTTACTTCTTTTGTGTGGCCAAGATCCAACCATTTCATCCATTGCTTCTACTTATCTATCATTCTGTCTCCCTGATCTTTTCTTTCAGTCCCTTATCAATCCTCTCAAAATCTATTTGCGAACTCAAAATGTTACTTTCCCTCTTACGTTGAGTGCTGCTTTTTCCCTTGCCCTGCATGTGCCTATCAACTATTTCCTCATCTATCACCTTGGCCTTGGCATTAAAGGCGTTGCTATGGCTGTAGCCATAGCTGATTTCAATCTACTTATCGTCCTTTTTCTTTATGTTAGTCTTTCTGGTGTTCATAGAAAATCTTGGCAAGGTTGGTCCGCGGAATGCTTAGATGGGTGGAGGCCAATTTTGAGTCTTGCAATCCCAAGTTGCATTTCTTTATGCTTAGAGTGGTGGTGGTATGAATTGATGATATTATTATCAGGGGTGCTTTTTAATGCTGCTGAAGCTGTGTCCACTATGGGAATTCTCTTGCAGGCAACTTCACTTGCTTATATATTTCCCTCGGCTTTGAGTTTAGCTGTTTCTACAAGGGTAGGGAATGAGTTAGGAGCCAATCGACCTAATAAAGCAAAGACTTCATGTCATGTAGCAGTTTTATGTGCCATATTTAGTAGCTTCATAGCAATGCTATTTATGTCAACATTAAGAAATGCTTGGGGCAAGGCTTTTACGGACGATGAAGCTATTTTGTCGCTGACGGCGGCGGCAATGCCGGTGGTGGGGTTGTGTGAATTGGGCAACTGCCCACAGACCACCGGCTGTGGTGCTTTGAGGGGCAGTGCAAGGCCAGCTCTGGCTGTTCATATAAACTTGGGCTCTTTCTATGGGGTTGGGTTGCCTCTGGCGATTGTATTGGGCTTTGTCATGAAAATGGGCTTGTTGGGCCTGTGCATGGGCTTGCTGGCTGCTCAAGCTGTTTGTGCATTTCTCATGATTTTTATATTGAGTAGAACGGATTGGTTGATGCAAGCTGAGAGAGCCAGAGATTTGATTGGTATGGATGAGGAGGATAAAACTGAGGATAAAACTATATCAATAAAAACGGTATGCTAGAAAGTAACTTTATTTATCCCTTTTCCTTGTATACTGATAATTTTAAGAATAGACAGGGGTATGTATCTTCCTTTTTTTCTATTTATTGACCTTTTTTTGTTTCTTTGTTTTATTTTACTTGCTTTCGGTTTTTGTAGTCATGTGTTATTCGGAAGAGAACGAAAAGATCCTCTTTTCCTATTTATAGTTAATATAAATAATTAAGGTGGGAGGTATATGTTGCTCATGAATTCCTTTGGAACTTAACCATCATGGTCATAATTAAGAGTTTGATCATCAACGTAATGAGTTCGTTCTTTAACATTACTGAGGAGTGAGGATAATGAAAAAAATAATACCCATAAAAGAAGAAAAAAGGGGGGAGGGGTGATTTTTCTTGAATTTTCCACACCCACCGCACCTTTTTCCTTTTGGGTTTAATTTTAAATTTAAGGGAATAACTTGGAAATCGGGTGGCTAATAGTATAAACGAAGAAAGAACTGACGTGTTACTTATTATCTAGAAAAAGAACTAATATTCTTACTTTTTTGTAAAGTCGAATTAGTTTTTAAAAGTTGGATTCCTTAATGTGAATGAAAACAGAGTACTCCAGCAAGTTTTATTTCTTCCAAAACTTGTAATCCCAATCGCGAGATATGAAGTTGTGATACAACGATTGGAGGAATACAAGAAATTGGTGAGATGAGAAGTGTCGTCCTTAAAAGGTACGTATGAATTTACGGCCATGAAACTAGTCCGAATAATTTGTATATTGGACCTTTTTCTTTCTTTCTTGAAGATTTAATCCAAATAGTCGCTCACCTAATCTCTTAAACCTAAAATAGTTGACGAATATATAATATATATATAATTCATGTAAAATATATGTATCTATGTATGAGCAATGTAAAATCTGTATTGCTATAGCGTGATAAAAGCTCGTAGTAGTATATATATTTTGAAGCTTGTGCTGTTAAATTTGAGAATGACATGGATATTAGAACAGGTGTTCAAGAAATATGAATCAGTTATTGTATAACGTAAAATTGGTTTATATTAAATGACCAAATGATAGCATAACACGTGAAACTGGAGACAGGCAGAAGTTTAGTCAAGTAAGAACTGAGGCCGGGGACAACAACTGCAGATGGTATTAGATAGGCCCCGAAGGGAGCATAATCAACAGGAGCAGGTCAAATGTTTACCACCGGATGTCATTTAATGAAGAAAATTCCCTAGTATTAAATGGACAGCCGTTGCAGAGAATTTTGGCACTCATGGCCTGCCATTACACATTCATTAATGACCCCCTTTATTGTCATTTTAGAGGGGCTTGATACTAGGATCTTGTTTCCTAGGTATATCTATAAATAAGGCTGTATTGTGGGTCGGGCCCAGCCCGGGACCACGTGCCAAACGGGTTGGTCTCAACCGGGCCGGTCTCTAATGGTGCAAAAGCCCACTGTGGGCCGGTGTCAACCAAAAAGCACGTGAGCTCGGGACCGGCAAGCGGGCCTGGGCCGGTTCAACCGGGCCTCACGGGCCCAACGGTAATATTTCAATTTTTTTTTTTAAAAAAAAAAGCCCAACGGCTAGAAATTAAAAAAGTAGCAGTTGGCCCTTAATTTCAGCCGTTGGGAAGTTTAAAAAATAGCCATTTGTCCCCCAAACTTTGTTTTAACCCCAAACTTTTTATAATTATATTTTTTCCCTATTCTCAACTATGAATACCTCCTCATTCTTTTATTTTTACTCACAAATTCATCAATCTCTCTCTAATTTTCTTCTATAATTGCTTACTTTATTATTGCAATTTCGTGAAAAATTGTGAAGCTGGAGAATTGAAGTATTCAAGTCTTCATGTCTTCAACGATATTCAATTTTTAAGAAGTTGTTCGTCAATTCGGTAAACTCGTTCCAACTCTTATGTTTTAATAATATAGTTTTGTTTGTTTTAGTTTGTATAATTATAATTAATATGGCCTTTTCTTTGAAAAAAATATTTGGTGGTAAGGAAAAATCTAAAATTGGTGAATCTAGTCGCCAAGCTACTACCTCTCCCCCGGCTCCCAGACCCAGACCTGTTACCCGTCCTCCTGCACCTATTATTCTTGATAGTGATAACCCTTGTTTTCAATTTAGCGATAGTCAATTTTGCCATGATGTTGCACCAGGTGAACAATTAAATGCTGAATATATGAATGTTCTTTATCCTAATGAAACTATTGATGAAAATGATGAGGAAAATGAAGATTTAGATGAAACACAACCGGATTTAGATGATACACCTACTAGTCCTGTTGTTAACCCAACTGATAATAATCCAAATGATGCCCCGCCTGACCCTCTTATAGTAACTCCTACTTTTAATAGACAACGTTCTCGACGCCCTGAAACATCACTTGGTTGGAACTTTTTTACTCAACTAAGAGAACAAAATAAGGCTAAGTGTAATACTTGTGGGGTTTTGTTGGCTCATAAATTTACTGGAGACCGTAGCGATACGGTAGTTTGACTAGACACATAAAGACACACCCTAGAGATAAAACTAGATATTTTTTTAAATGAAAGCGCAGCTAAAGGGGAGAAGTGTAGATACTACGGTTAACCCTAGTACAGGTTCAAATCTAGTTCAACCAGGAATTAACACTGTGACCGGTGGTATTTTATATTACGATCCAAATAAAGATCATGAAGAATTAGCAAAAATGGTTACTGTTATGTGCTTACCCTATAATTTTCCTTCTAACCCTCACTTTGTGCATTATATTAGAAAAGTTTTTAATCCTACTTATAAAGGACGGCCTCCGCAACCGTAAAGAGCGATATTTATAAATATAAACATGAATATGAACAATATTTGCGGTATTTATTTACTCATATAGATTGTCGGATTGCTATTACCACTGATATTGGTAGAAGTGGTAATGACTGTGATTATCTTACTGTAACTACTCATTGGATTGATGAAGAATGAAAAATGCAAAAACGCATTATTGCTTATAGAATAATTAATTAACGTCACACAGGTAAGTTTATTGCTAACACAGTTGCAGATATTTGTAGATATTTTTGCCCTCTACTATGATAAATTATTTAAAATTGTCCCCCGTTATACTATTGGGCCATAAAAGTCCATGCCGTCATACTATCCTAACAAATCTGCCCTTAGTTAGACGGAAGTGCCACGTGGCATCTCCTCATCAAACGACCCACCCCCAATTTAAAAAAAAACCATCCAATACTGACCCGCCCAAGTTAAGACCCGTAACCTAAAGGCAAAAAGAGAGACATAACTTAAAAATATGGAAAACCAGCATTGTTCTTCATCTTTATTGATATTTGCTCAAAATTTCCAACCCAACTTCTTTGAATCTTCACCAAATTTGTTATAATTTGAGATTTAAGCTCCCCAAGAGATCCCTAACAAAACACAATAACATCAATTAGAAATAGTTCACATTTTCGAAAACTCAATTTTCGAGCTAAGATTCAGAGCTTTCATCATTGGAGTTTTTAGCTCTTGCTTCACGTACCAGCTTTCTAACAATGTTCTAAAAAATACTTTCAACAAGAAACACAGACATCTCAACTCTTCCAAAATTTTAAATCCAGTGTCCAATTGATATATCATCGTTCCCATCCTCTTCTTCTCCTTACTTTTCATCACCATATTCCCAAGAAATTACTGAATTGTGCGGAAGAAAATGGTTCGTCCGTAACTGTTTTTACATATATTATAAAATAAAGGAAGATTAAAAATCAGATGCCAATCAAAAATATTTAATTAAAATTTAAGAAAAATGATAAGAAGTGTAGAAGGAGCCATAGGAAACCAAAGTTCATCCGCAAAAGTTTTTTTAAGCAATCACAAATTCACAACAGACCCAGTTGGGTGTTCTTCAAGCTTTTCCAAATAGTCCAATAGTGATTTTAGTTTCCCTTCAACTATATTTTCCCAAATCAGTAATTGAATCAAAACTTAAGCACAACAAATGATTTTTCCAAACGATTCTAACAATAGGTAACCAACAAACCCAGATTTCTGATTTTGAATTTGAAATCTGAAAGTTTTCGGCTTAAAAAATGGAAATTAAAATCACCATAGGAAGTTAGTTACCTAAAACGATTACTTCCCCAACGCGATTATTAGAAATGGGCATTATTTGGTTTATAAATGGCGGGTCGCGGGTTATGGTTTGGTGGGTTTCATGGAGCGGGTCGTCTCATATGTGCACAGATGTTAAAATCGCACGGATGGATGCCACGTGGCACTTCCGTCTAACTAAGGGCAGATTTGTTAGGATAGTATGACGGCAGGGACTTTTATGGCCCAATAGTATAACGGGGGACAATTTTAAACAATTTATCATAGTAAAGGGATAGATCAGACCCTTTTCCGTTTTGCATTAGAGATAAATAATGTCAATTTCTATGGATAATGTTTCTAGTGACACTAATGTTATATGCTTACTTACAACTATACTAAATCCTGCATTTAGTAATTGTTTCCTATTAGATGTATTTGTCATATTTACCATTTAATCGTCGGTGATGGTATGGAAATTTTAAATTTAGAAATTGAAAAGGTTAAAATGGCTCTTAATTGGCTTTTTTATTCAAACCGTAGAAGTAGACTTAGAGAGTATTTTAAAAAATGTGATGAATTTGGCCTTAGAGAAAGAAAGGTTCCTAAAGCTTGTCCGACTAGATGGAATTATATATACGAAAGTTTAGTTGTTGCATATGAATATAGAAACCCAATTAATGCAATGTGTAATGCTCGTGTTGGTGGTAAGGATGATGATGAAATCCTTACAAATCAAGATTGGAATAACGTAAAAATTCTTATAGATTTTTAGAACAATTTCATCAAGCTACACATGAATTGTCTGGGCAATATTATCCTACTATTTCAAACTGTTTAGTTTATATTGCAGCACTATGTGATTTGTTTGTTGAATTTTCAGAGGGTGGGGAAATTTATCAACTTGCTATAAATGTAATGAAAGAAAAGTTAAAAATATATTTTTTCCCTATCCACCCTATTTATGGTGTTGCTGCCATGTTAAATCCTACCATGAAATTAGGAGGTCCTCACTTTTGGTATTCAAATATTTATAAGGCTTTAGATCTTTCAGATGAGGAATTTGCTATACTTGCAGATGCAAAAGCCTCAATTAAAATAAATGCTCAAACAATTTATAATGCTTATCAACTTGCCATAGATCATGCTAGACCAAATGTTCCAACTCCTACTTCGTCTAGTTCACAATCATCTAAAAGAACTGCGGGCTTAAAAGCACTTAGTTCTTGGACGGAGTTCGGGGGTTCTCAAGGTGATAATATTGATGATACTTCACATCTAAATGAGCTTCAAGTTTATTTGTCGCAGGGCCTTGAAAAGGAGAATCCAGACGGCACCTATGATCTTTTGGAATGGTGGAAGGCCAAAGAAAAATATTTTTCGGTTCTTGCAAGAATGGCTCGGGAAATTTTATGTATTCAAGCTTCAACAGTGGCATCAGAGAGCGCTTTCAGTCAAGCAAGACTTCAAATATGTGATCATAGAGCGTCTATGAGGGAGAGCTTGGAAAAATCAGTACTCTTCAGAGATTGGATCCGTTCGGAAAGAAGAAATTTTGGACTTGCAGAATCACAACCGGAGATAGACGAAGCTTATGAAGAAATGATAGCGGAACTTGCGGAGGATGCTGCTTCGCCCGGAAGCGATGATGAACAAGCTTCTTTTCCGCCACCACCAACGGAACTTCCTCCGAACCTTGAAGGATTTATGAAATTTGTTAGAGTTACTATGTAGATTATGGTGTAACTTGTATTTTGGCACATCTTTATTAGTTTTTTTTCCTTTTAATGGTGGTATTAGAAACTTGTTGTGCTCATTCCACTGAGGGAGGAAGACTAAGAAAGATATTGCCATTTTTGTTAATGTCGTAATAATAATAATTATAAGACATTCCCTTGAATATCTCTTTGCAATTTTTTTTTGTATTTAAATTTGACTCTTTAGAAGATTTAACTTACAATTCTATATAAGCTATAATATATTTACAAGAAATTATATAAGGCAATATATATACATAACATACTATATATATATATATATATATATATATATATATATNAGATTATGGTGTAACTTGTACTTTGACACATCTTCTTTAGTTTTTTTCCTTTTAATGGTGGTATTAGCACCTTGTTGTGCTCATTCCATTGGGGGGTTGGGGGGGAGGGGGAGGACGTCTAAGAAAGATATTGCCATTTTTGTTAATGTCGTAATAATAATAATTATAAGACATTCCCTTGAATATCTCTTTGCAATTTTTTTTTGTATTTAAATTTGACTCTTTAGAAGATTTAACTTACAATTCTATANATATATATATATATATATATATAGTTTACAAGAAATTGCCTTAGACAAAAAAAAATTTTAAAAAAAATTAGCCCGGAACGAAAAAGCCCATTAGGCCCGTGGGCCCGTCCCATTTAGCCCGGGACCATGTGGGCTTAGGCCCTCAGTGGGCCGGTTCCACACATTAGGACTGTTAGGCCCGGGATCGTTTGGCCCGGGACCGCCAAAGACCGACCCGCCTAAGCCCGGTCCCGTTTGGCCCATTTAGGCCCGGGCCCGGCCCAGAATACAGCCTTATCTATAGATAGTGACTTCAACAACCATTGTAGGACATGAAAAGGCCATCATGGTCCATCTCTCAAGGCAAGACCAAGTCATGACAGAACTAAAGCAGGCATTATCAGGCGCTTCCAACAACGAGAGCGGAAGAGGCCTCGTTCCTCCCGGCGCTCCTGCAAATCAAACGGCTCAAAAAGTTGATAATAACACCCCGAGGGATGAGGTCGGCTTCGACGGGGGGATCGATAGCGGATCCGGTAACGACAACAGTAATGATCCCTTCAAAACCGAACTCATGAGATTCATCAGGGAAATGAACGAGCGGATGGATCAGAACGCGAAGGAGTTTCACGCCCGAATGGATCAAATTCCAAGCGCACCACCAGTTCTGAAGGTCCCAGATTTGAAAAAGTACACCCAGTTACCGTTCAAGCCGAGCATAACACCAGAATTGATTCCGAATCGGTTCAAAATGCCGGACATACCAAAGTACCAAAGATCTAAGCCTGGAAGGCGGACATATTCAGAATTGCACAAGGAAAGTCCAAATTACTGCGGGAGTTCAGATTCTAGAAAGAAAGAATGCTGCTATCGGTTGTACTATACGAGTGGCAGCGGAGGCATTCACTAAGGGTCTGAACCCGAAGAGCTCCGACACCTCCCGAAAATTTATGGAAAGCATGCTCGAGTTCCAAGCGACCATATGGGCGGATGTCCATAACCGTTATGAATCGAAGATAAGGATAAAAGATGATCAGCTCGGTTTCCCGACATCAACTGTCACGACCCAAACTGATGGGCCGTGACGACTGCCCGAATCCTACATGTCGAACATCCTTAAGCATGCGTTTAAGATATAAACATGAATAACATACGTGAGGGAAACCTATCCAAAAGACATATGTACATGCACATGCGGAATACAGCGGGCGAGCCGGCAAGACTACTATAGACAACTATATACCCAAAACTGGAAGCCGAGAAGGCCACATACTATCCAACTATACATAACTGTCTAGTGTCTACAAACCTCTAATAGAAAATACAACTGTACAAGGACGGGACTGGGCCACGTCATACCCTTATATGTGTACAAGCAATCGTACCAAAATCAAAAGCAGCTCTGGATCAAGTGAAGCACGCCAACTCTCGCTGATCAAGGATCCTAAGAAGGGGTTCATCAACTTGCCTACCTGTATCTGCGGGCATGAAACGTAGGCCCCGGAAAATAGGGCGTCAGTATGAATAATGTACTGAGTATGTAAGGCATGAAAATCAGTTCATAAAAGACATAGATGAAACATGGAATAAGGAATTCCGCCTGTAAGTCGAAATAACTTTGCAAATCCTGAAACAGTTATAATATCATACATATGCATGTAAATATCGTGTCATGCATAGGTATAAGTGTACATAATATCATCAAGCCTCTGAGGGCATTCCATCATATCATCCCGGCCACTGTGACAAAATCATCAACATATACCAACTGATCAGGTGGTGGGCGTATACAACGCCGTAACCTTTTCCCATATCCCATATACATATAAGTACATATATATACGCGTATATAACTCCATCTGGTCATGGGTCAATGTACATGTATAAATGAATAAAATGCATAAAAATGTGTTAATAAAATCAATATACTTTTCGGATAAACTTTATCAACTACGTATTTTTCTGAGACCCGTGAACAGAAGATGAAATAATAAGATACATCAAATTCAAGAACATAGGCACCTCTAATACTCCTATGAACAGAGTCATTTATGAAAACTGTGCACTTGCTCGTTGCGTTTGTGTCGTATATATAATGCCAAAAGAAAGAAGGGATAGCCTTAACATAGGTGAACCGATTCTCTTGGCAATCCTTTTAACACCCGCCAATTGTGACGAACACGTAACGGCGAGATCGAAATAGGGAACGACCAAATTTAATCATAACAATAGCGCAACCCAGATGCCTACCAAGTGCTCCATGTTTGTAATTTGGTATTGTAGTAGGGAGATGTTATGATTTCCCTTCAATATTTTCTAACGTGAGTCTCTAATGGAAAGAACAGCACTTGAATCTTTTGAAAGTCTAAGAGACTAAATGAATCAAAATGGTCACAAACCTTTAAGTGTGTTTGAATGAGTGTGGGCCCACTTCAAGTGGTGACTAAGCCACTTTAATCCTCCATAATATGACATATATGCAAGATTTTTAAGAGTCATTTTAATTATAA